AGTTTAGGCTTGTTTAATGTTACCGAAGCTTCCAACTGGTGATCTGTAACTGGCAGATTTAGGGGTCCTGTGTCCCTGGTTGAAGATTTCTCCAGTATCACAGTTCTGGGGGACAGTTTGCTTGGTCTACCCCAGCTACTTTCTCTGGGTCTGGTGCAAGGCAGTCCGGCTGAGTCCATATTTATCACGAATGTACCTCTTGATATTTGACACTGGGGTAGGAGTATTTACGCCTCATGATTTGGCCGGGAAATGGCTCTTTTAGCCACTTTTCTTCGCTGATAGGTAACAGTCAAGATAGAGTATTCTAGAGGCCTTCCACCAGAGGCGTATGGAGGAGGCCTTTGTGTCCTGACAAAGAAGCCACTGCCTTTTCCTCAGAGTTGTGAGGAGTACTTTGATGGCACTGGATCATTGTTGGGTTATTGTCACCAACTCAGGAGCAAGTCACACTTGCGGAGTTCTGCTCCTATCAGCCAGGGGCTCTCTGGGCCACTGTTATAAGGTGCCAGGGACAGGGATTGACTGCCCGGGGTTATATGAATTTATAGCCATCACATAGGAGTCTGGTTCTCGTCACAGGTGTAGGATCTCAAGCTAGAAGGGGCCTGCTCTGGACTTGACTGGATGTCAACAACCTTTGACAGCTCAGAACTCCATACTTGCACTTGCTGATTGGGCATCTGCATACTACATACATTGAATTTGCCTTGTGCTGTTTTTTTTTTTTCTTTCCTCAAAAGTGGACTTTTAAAGAAAAATTGTTTTAAAACTCATCATAATTTGGAAACTCAAAAAATAAAATAAAATAAAATAAAATACCAGCTAAATCCTTTGGGAGTACAGCAAGGTAAGCAACAAAAATATCCTTTGCAGAAAAGATGGCATTAAATGTAGTAGATGCCAATATGTATGGTTGTACTTTGTTGGTATTTTTGTCAAACCAGTCTTTCAGCCCAAATACTTTCCCCATTTCTGCAGCACCCAAGAGTACAAGACTGTGTAAACAGAGAGAACATTGTTGTGAACTGTTTGCTCTGGCACACAGCCTCTCCTAGCCTTCTGATCCCTGCCACAGGTCAAGGGCCAAAGGTCCACAGCAGGCCTGGGCTTCAGGGTACTCTTCAATTACTCCATAGTAATCGAGGATAAAGCCAAAGGACTGGCTTTCATTTACTGTGAAATCTGGTTACGTATATAAATGGGATCTTCTACACAGAAAGTTAATTTTTGGTGGAAAACTCTACTAAGGGTTATTGCGTTCCAAAAATCCAAGGGCAAAAGTAACTGAAACAAAAAAAGATGGCTAGAGTGTGAACATGATTCCTGAGTCTATCACGAAAGTTCCCAGTCAGGGTTCGCTCCGCTCTCCTGCACAGGAAACCCTTCATGATTTATGCACCTGAAGACGTCTCTTAGCAACGGCTGTGAAGGAAACGTACTGAGAAATTTTCTCTAGGCTTTGTTTAGAGGGAGTGCCAAACCAGAGGTTAAATGCAATTTAACACGTTCTCTAAAATGCAATGGACATATTGTTGTATTAATTTTAAGGAGAAAAAAAGGCAGTTTGGCTTCCTACTTGATAGTAGATTTGTTTGCTCTTAAAATACTCATTCCCACACTGTGGTAGGAATTATGAATAAAATTTCTGGGATTGTCTTTGGATTTGGCAAGCAGTGTCAGATTCTTTAAAAGAAGTTGTTTGGGATTTTTAAAATATATAAAAAAAGTTCTGTTGCTCATATATTGCTGCTTGTTAACTAAAAGTAGTGCTTTCTGAACAATCTATTTTTAGCTTTTATTTCGAATTGACTTTAGATATATGGGAGATTGCAAAAAAATATACAGGAACATCCCATGCATCCCTCCCACCAGCCCCATGAAAAATCCATTTTGACTATTTTTCCTATGAAAGGAGGAAATAAGCTTAAGGGTTGAGCAAAAAATGGGCCGCTTCAGGTCTAGCCCAAAGGCACAGTGGAGACCTGAGTACTGGACCCCCACCCTTGGTGTAGCGTCTTTGTTTCAATTGCCCCAAAATGGGCAGCTACCGGCAGGGGGCGTGGCAGGCAGGGACATCGGACGCTGACATTCTAGCCACTCATTGCTTTCTTTTAAAAGCTTCCTCCTTTCCCCATCTCAAAGTTCAAAGTGACTGGGTTTAGGGTAGGGATGCGGTGAGGCTTGAATGTGGGTTGCGTGGTTGAGCCACTGAAAAACTTTTTAGGTTTTGCCCTGTACTTCTCCAGTACTCTAGCCCTTATCTTTCTAGGAGAGAACTTTCTCCACCCTCTTTGAATTAGGGACTTCTCATCCACATGAAGGTGGGGGGCGGTGGGGGGGGGAGGTAATCAATTTAAGATCACATACAAGAAAAAAGTCACTTAGATTGTTTGGGGAGATGAGGGGGAAAGATATATAAAAGTTTAAAGTCACTTATTTCAAATTAAGCGCATAGAGTTATGTTAAAGGAGCACAGAACTATTGGAAATTGTACTTTAATTCTATACTTTTTCTGGTTGAGGAGGGAGATGACAGAGAATAAAGTAAATCCCAGATGCCGGGGGAAGAAAGAAAGGCAAAGAGGGAATGAAGAGAGGCAGAGGCTTATTACCCTTAGCTTAGAGGTAGACTTTCTAGAAGGATTTTGAGGTTTAGGTAAGCTAATGTCTCACTTGGACAGTAAGTACAGAAGCTTAAGTGCACAGGGCAACAGACCAATGTTATGTATAACAGCAAACTACTTCTCAGTTTGCTTATGGAAGTCCTCTATCTTCACGCAGATACAATGAATATATTATGGGCCACTCACCAGCTCTGGCTGCAACCCTTCACACCTTGCCAATCCTCACCACCTTCCTACCCCCTCAACAACTAGTTCAATGTATTGGCTTCTCCACTGTCACTGGGCGAGTCAACTGCAGGGTATAACCAAGTTTTCTCAGTTCTTTGGATTCCTTTGGCTACTTCTGACTCCCCCATGCAGCCCTAGGGCCATGTTTATTTGTTGAATGGTTAGCTACTTTAACACTGCTATTATCAACAACCTAACCCTCTACCATTCCCAAGCAGACCTCACCTGAGAAATTGGTAGAAATGCAGAATCATGGGCTTTGCTTCTGACCTTGTGAATAGAATCCACACATTAGCACAACCCCCTGATGATTCTCAGAAGCACTGCTGGCCTCCCTGGCTCTCACCCTATTCATTCCAGATTGCCACATCACCTGCCAGCAACCATACTTCAATCATCTTGAGACTCAGGACTCCTTCATAATCCTTGTATTCATTTTTTTAATTTAATATACTCCAAGAATAGCTCTTCAACCCCCCTTTCCACTCTTTAGCTCCTCACTCCTGTTTTTTTCTCCTCCCATTCCTATCCTCTCTCTCCCTGTCTTAACTTTGCAGAGATCAAATGACCTTGCTGTGCTCATGTGTGTTTCCTTCTAGGCTTCAGTATGTCTCTGGTCTTCTACCACCCTCTATTCTTTTCTCCGGTCCAGATGAAGTAGTATCTTATTTACTGTCATTTTGGAGACTCTTTTTCTCATACTTTTGGTTCTCTCCCTCCTACCCCCATTATTGGGCCTTCTCGCTTTTGTGGGTCCCTATTTCTACTGTTTCTTAATTGTAGATAGCCCCGTAGTTCAGTGTTTCTTGGCTCTCTTTCTATTTCTCCTACCGAAGAATTTATGCCACTCCTTAGCTTCAGATCTCCTCTGTATTAGTTGATTCCCAAATCTCTTTCCTGAGTCCTAGTCTTTCATTTCCAAGTAATTGAGTGATGTTCAGCAGGATCTAAAACTCTAACATGAGTAATAGCAGGTTAAGAACATTTATTTAAGATGTTAGCAAGGAGGAAAGACAATACAGTCTAGCTTATATTTTTTGTCTGTCTTCAACTTTGGTCTGATATAACTCAAACTCTATCCAGTCAGGATAACTCTATTCATGCTTTTATATACCTTGTGCTTTCCTCCTTCCATGGTTTTGCTCCATGTCTTTGTGCTTTTAGAAAACATTTCTGCCCTTTCCTTCTTCAAATCTTCCTAGCATTCCAATCAGGAAAATGTGGAATGATGAAAATGCTGGATTACGAGTCAGAAGAAGACCTCTTTTGGTCATTCTACTTGCTTTCTGACCTTGGAACAATTATTTGAGCTTTCTATGGCTTTCTCTCTCTCTACGTATGTATATTTTTAAAAGATTTTATTTACTTATTTATCTAATTTGAGAGAGAGGGAGCACGAGCAGGGGGAAGGGGTAAAGGGAGAGGGAGAAGCAGACTCCCTGCTGAGCAGGGAGCCCGATGTGGGTCTCCATCCCAGGACCCCAGGATCATGACCTGAGCCAAAGGCAGCTGCTTAATGGACTGAGCCACCCAGCACCCCTATGGCTTTCTATATTTTAAATAAAGAAATAAGAATTCCATCCCTGCCTGCCTCAGATAGCTAATAGGATAAAGACCATATAGCATTGTCTGACCTGAACTCTGATAGCACTTTGTGCCTTTCGTCTGGAAACTTACTATCTCTTGCATGTAAAGTAGTGACAAATTCTACAAACTCTTAAAAAGTAGGGTACCCGAATGTAAACCTTTTTCTTCTATGCTTTCTATCATTGTTCATGTCATGTTATCAGATTCGGAGGAAAAACCAATGAAAAAAATAGCAATTCCACATGCTGTTCAGTTTTTATTCTTTTTTTTTTTTTTTTAAAGATTTTATTTGACAGAGAGACACAGCAAAAGAGGGAACACAAGCAGGGGGAGTGGGAGAGGGAGAAGCAGGCTTCCCGCGGAGCAGGGAGCCCGATGAGGGGCTCGATCCCAGGACCCTGGGATCATGACCTGAGCTGAAGACAGACGTGTAACGACTGAGCCACCCAGGCGCCCCAGGCGCCCCCAGTTTTTATTCTTGATTCACTAATTCCGAATAGTTTTTACTACAAATGTATCACCTTTCCTTTTTTTTTTTTTTTTTAAACCTCCAATTTAGGAGATGTCTTTCCAGTGCAAATGAATCCAATAGCTCAATCTCAGTTTGTACCTTTGGCTGAAGTTCTTTGCTGTGCTGTATCTGATATGAATGCTGCCCAGATTGTGGTGACACAGGAATCACTGTTGGAGCATTTGATGAAACACTACCCAGGTAGCGTGAGAAGTTTTCTCTATTAGTTCATTGCTTGCTTTCTATTTATAAATCCTCTTAAAGATGTGAATAAACTGGGCGATATCCACTTTTTTTTCTATTGTAGAGCCTCGTATTAGAGCCTTGCTAGGAAAGGCCTGCATCAACAAATTTGATAAGGGCATTTCTTTTACTTTCCAGATGAACTTTTTCAAAAACAATGCTTATGGCAATAAACAAATCAAACTGTAGAAAGGAGTACAAAGCAAAAAAAGGAAAAGTTCATCTTCTCCCCCGATCCCATTCTTCCATTGCCACTTCCCAGAGGTGACAGTTTATATTGTTTATCTTTTCCTGTGTATACTTTCATAAATTGTATTTGAGCATATGTATTTTTTTTTCAAAGATTTTATTTATTTATTTGAGACAGAGAGAATGAGAGACAGAGAACACGAAGAGGGGGGAGGGTCAGAGGGAGAAGCAGACTCCCCGCCAAGCAGGGAGCCCGATGCGGGACTCGATCCCGGGACTCCAGGATCATGACCCGAGCCGAAGGCAGTCGCTTAACCAACTGAGCCACCCAGGCGCCCCATATGTATTTTTTTAATAACATAAATTAGATCATTCTTTACATTGTTTGCACCTGCTTAAGTTAGAAAAATATTTTAAAATATCTTTTAAAAATATACATATGTAGAGAGAGAGAAAGCCATAGAAAGCTCAAATAATTGTTCCAAGGTCAGAAAGCAAGTAGAATGACCAAATGGCCTGGGTGACCTAGTTGCTTAAGTGTCCAACTCTTGATTTTGTTTTTTTGTTTGTTTTGTTTTAAGATTTTATTTATTTATTTGAGAGAGAGAGAGAGAGCATGAGCTGGGGGGGAGGCAGATGGAGAGGGAGGAGAGGGAAGCCTGATATGGGGCTTGATCCCAGGACCCTGGGATCATGACCTGAGCTGAAGGCAGACACTTAAGCGACTGAGCCACCCAGGTGCCCCTAACTCTTGATTTTGGCTCAGGTCATGATCTCAGGGTCATGAGATCGAGTCCTGAGTCAAGCCCTGCATCAGCCTCCAAGCTCAGTGGAGAGTCTGCTTGAGATTCCCTCTCTCTCTCTGCCCCTCCCCACCCCCCAAGTGCATACACTCTCTCTCTAAAAAAAATAAATAAATCTTTTAAAAAATATTTTGGAGATCTTTCTGTATTATTATATATTGATTTATTTCAATCTTTTCACAGATGCATAATATCCCAAATGCATGGGTGTAGAAGAGTATTTTTAATTTTTCCCATTATAAAATGGATATGCTTATTGAAGAAAAATCAAGAAAATACAGAAAGTAACCACTTACAGTACCACCACCCAAAGGAAATGTTAATATATATATATTTTTATTTTTTTAAAGATTTTATTTATTTATTTGTCAGAGAGAGAGAGAGCACAAGCAGGGGGAGCAGCAGGAGGAGAGGGAGAAGCAGGATCTCCGCTGAGCAGGAAGCCCGATGTGGGACTCAATCCCAGGACCCTGGGATCATGACCTGAGCTGAAGGCAGACACTTAACTGACTGAGCCACCCAGGCGTCCCAGGAAATGTTAATATATATATATATATATTTTTTTTTTTAAAACCTTTTAAAATAAAGATTTTATTTATTTGACAGAGAGACACAGCAAGAGAGGGAACACAAGCAGGGGGAGTGGGAGAGGGAGAAGCAGGCTTCCTGCAGAGCAGGGAGCCTGATGTGGGGCTCGATCCCAGGACCCTGGGATCATGACCCAAGCTGAAGGCAGACACTTAACAACTAAGCCACCCAGGTGCCCCGGAAATGTTAATATACTGATGTATTTTCTTCCAGTGTTATACAAACATGTTTCACAATATAAATACAATTTTGAACCCTGATATTTGGAAAAAGGAATTTGTTTTAAAATTGTTACTTTCCTACTTTGAAAAACTATCATAATACAGATATTAGGTAGTTTGCCCTCATCCTGGCACAGACTGGTTTTCATTTTCTCTTCAGATTCTTATTAAGATTTAAGCAATGAAGTTGCGATTTTCAAAAACACCCATGTTTGCTTCCAAGAATGCTGTCTTGAAGTGAAAATTTAAATTCATGATGGGTTTGTATAACTCTCTGTGTGTGTTAGAGGGAACTCAGATTTTTTTCTCTACTTAACCATTAATTTAGCCCTATGTCTTTGTGTGGACCAAATTGTATTCCTATTATTCAGTTAAATTGGGACTATTATGAATGCTTCTTTGGCATTGTAATTATGTTTATTGTGTTACAGTTAGCTCTGGGTTCATCAAACACATGTGTGGTCATTTCTGACTTACTGATTTCACTCATCAAAATGTTTTTTTTAATTCAAAATCTATCAGTGTAATGAAATGCTTGTTTGTTTTAGGCATTGCAATTCCATCTCAGGATATTCTCTATACCACTCTGGGAACTCTGATTAAAGAAAGGAAGATTTATCACACTGGAGAGGGATACTTCATAGTCACCCCTCAGACTTACTTCATCACAAATACAACCCCTCAGGAAAATAAGAGAGACCTGTCAGATGAAAGTCACCCGGTGCCAACTTGCGTTACGTATCTGGTGAGCGTAGCCAGCTGTGCAGAACTAGCCAAAGGAAATGCTGCCCCCATTTCCCATTGTCAGTCTTGCCGGTGTTTCCCTGCCCCGTGCACCCAGGACGTAGAGGCGACACCGGCGGCTGCAGAAATGGCTAGAAAAGGCCAGAAGGGTCTTCAGGAATCCAGATCTTTGGTACAGAATCGAGCGGTTTCAGTATCTGAGGAGAATCACATCTGTGAAAGCGCCAAACCGTTACCAGACACAAAAGACAGAGAAAAAGGCAAGAAGTTTGGCTTCAGCCTCTTCTGGCGTAGCCTATCCAGGAAGGAGAAGTCCAGAACAGAGCACAGCAGTTTCTCTGCCCAGTTCCCACCAGAAGAATGGCCTGTCCGAGATGAAGATAACTTGGACAATATCCCTCGAGACGTCGAACATGAGATTATCAGAAGAATTAATCCCATTCTGACCGTTGACAACTTAATCAAACATACCGTCTTGATGCAAAAATACGAGGAACAGAAACAATATAATAGCCAGGGCACTTCCACTGATATGCTGACGATGAGGCATAAATATCCTTCAAAAGAGGGAGTGAGGAACCGGAGGGGCCGGTCTGCAAAGCCTCGAAGAAGGCGGGGCCGTTCTCAGAGGGATAGGCACCAAGCCGGGAGTCCGGGAAGCGAGCCTCAGCCAGGAAGCATTAGACTGGAGAAACATCCCAAGCTCCCTGCTCCCCAACCGACCCCCAGAATTAAAAGCCCAAATGGAGCAGTAGTTCAGAAACCACTTGATGAGAACCTATCAGTGCTGGGGTCCCATTTGATTTACAAGAAGCGAATTAGTAATCCTTTCGTAGGTTTTTCTCCCCGGGGGATCCCAGTAACCAAAGGGCACAACATCCAGAAGACCAGTGATCTGAAACCCAGTCAGACTGGACCAAAGGGAAAGCCTTTCCCAAGGTCAAGGTCTTTGGATTCTTCAAGAATCTTTGAGAGTGAACTCAAAGAGCCACATGCTGAACAATGTAAAGATGAACTGATGGCAGAATCCATTTATATGAATAACTCTGCCGTCAAACCTATCAGTGATGACTTCAGAGATCCCCTCTTAAATTACTCTCAATGTAGTGTTTCGCAAAATGGCAGTAAATGTTCCTTTCGGGAAAGCATGTTGAGATATGATGTATATGGTGGAAAAAACGAGGTAATCCCTGAAGTCTTGAGGAAAAGTTATTCTCCCTTTGACACATTAGGGGAAGCCAAAGAAACACGGCATGTCCTGCCATCACAAGGACATCCTGCCTCCTCTTTAGGCCATGCCTCCTCTGCTTGTAGAATAGTTGATCAAACAATACACCAGTTCCAAAATCTTGGTCTTCTGGATTACCCAGTTAGTACGAACTATTTGAGACAACCTGAGAGACAAGATGGAGACTTAGAAGAAATACCAATGAGAAAGGCATTTGTCCCGGAAGCAGAGACTGTGGATCTAGAAAACAAGGGGCTTTCTGATGATAACCAGGCTTTGTATCAGAATGAATTGGAAGATGATGATGGTGCTTGTAGTTCATTATATCTAGACGAGGAGGACTTTTCCGAGAATGATGACTTATGTCAAATGCTGCCTGGCCACGTTCAGTATTCCTTTGCAGGGAGAAGCAAGTGGAATCATTTGGGGAAACAGAAAGTGACTGAAATATCTCTGACTGAGTACAGCAACAAAATAGACAGGTCTGAGCTTCAGGTGCTTGAAGGAAATGAGTGTTACAAACCCACTGGGTTTTTCACTAACCCAGGTGAAAGCCCAACACCTAATCTCTCTGCTGAAAGCGGTGGTCTCAATTCAGGGGCTCAGTCCAGTTTTAACTATGAAGAGGAACCCAGTGTTGCTACGTGTGCCCAGACCTCAGCATCTGCGGATGGAAGTATATTTGATTACTATAGCACAAGGAAAGCCCATTCTGAGACTGAAACCCTCCAAGACTCTGTTGGTGACACAGGAAAGAAACCAGCTAGCTGGAGTCAGAGTGCTCAGAATCAGGGAATGAGAAAGCAGTTCACACAAAAGTTAGAACTTTTCAACACTTCACTTAGGCCAGTGTTGGCTCAGGATATCCGACACGAACACAGTCATTTGGAAGGAACAGAAAATCAGAGCATGGCAGGAGATAGTGGAATAGATTCTCCACGGTAAGTGTACGTAAACGTGTTTGATTAGCCACTATTCCTCAGGAATGATTAAAATCAAAGGTGTATTGAATTACCTAATGGGAGACTCCTGAATAAACTTCTTATAGCCATAGAATTCTGCCAGCCTTACTGAATAAATTGTATCAAATTACAATGAAATCTCTTATATAATAGGTTCATTTTTAATGTGAGCCAAAATTTACTCCACTACTACTAAATTTTGAATTATTTCTTTTTTTTAAAGATTTTATTTATTTGACAGAGAGAGAGAGACAGCGAGAGAGGGAACACAAGCAGGGAGAGTGGGAGAGGGAGAGGCAGGCTTCCCGCTGAGCAGGGAGCCCGATGCAGGGCTCGATCCCAGGACCCCGGGATCATGACCTGAGCCGAAGGCAGATGCTTAACGACTGAGCCACCCAGGCGCCCCTAAATCTTGAATTATTTCTAAAAATAGGAAAGAGCTGCTATAAATGAAGCACTTCCTCAACTGAAGGTTGGAAGTTTTCACTTATATTTCTGGTTCTACATACATTGGGAAAGAGATACAGCTACTTTCCACCAATATTTTCCATGTTAATTTGTTTAAATAACATTGTTCAGATTATGAAAGTAATATGGTCATAATAGAATATTTGAAAAGTACTGAAAAAGTGTCTTAAAAGATTTATTTATTTATTTGAGAGAGAGAGAGAGAGAGTGCATGAGCAAGCATGGGGGAGAGGCAGAGGAAGAGAAATCCTCAGACTCCCCACTGAGCTTGAAGCCCAACCTGAGGCTCAATCCCAGGACCTTGAGATCATGACCTGATCTCAAAGAGTCAAATCAAGATCCAAAATCAAGAGTCAGATGCTTAACTGACTGAGCTTACCCTGGTGCCCCAGTACTGAACACCTATAATCACCCTACCATTTATTTTATTTTTTAAAAAATATTTTATTTATTTATTTGAGAGAGACAGAGATAGTGAGAGAGAGCACAAGTGGGAAGGAGGGGGAGAAGCAGACTCTCCGCTGAGCAGGGAGCCCAATGTGGAGCTCGATCCCAGGACCCCGGGATCATGACCTGAGCTGAAGGCAGATGCTTAACTGACTGAGCTACCCAAGCGCCCCCACCCTACCATTTAGATATATTTTAAAAATCCTTTTATATTTGGTATATTTATAACACTTCAGTCTGAATATATTGATCTATATAATTTGAATGTTTTGCCTGTACTGTACTTATTTTGTATGGTGCTTTTTTTCAAATAATAGTACATAGTGAACATTCCCCTCATATCCTTAGTTTTCAAAAAGTTCATCTTAAAATTTGGCATATATCTTTACTATTTTTTTTTAAAGATTTTATTTATTTATTTGAGACAGAGAGTGAGAGCGAGCACAAGCAGGGCGGGGGGAGCAGAGGGAGAGGGAGAAGCGGACTCTTTACTGAGCAGGGAACCTGATACAGGGCTCTATCCCAGGACCCCAGGATCATGACCTGAACTGAAGGCATATGCTTAACCAACTGAGCTACCCAGGCGCCCCGACTAGTTTTTCATTATATAAAATTATTGTGTACTTTGTTTTGAAAAAGTAAAGTAATACAGAAATGTAAAAGGTAGGGGAGCCTGGGGTTAGATCATGGTCTCAGGGTCCTGGTGTCAAGCCCTTGTCAGGCTCCCTGCTCAGCGGGGAGTCTGCTTCTCCTTCTCCCTCTGCCCCTCCCCTTGCTCATACATGCTGTCTCTCTCTCTCTCTCAAATAAATAAATAAATCTTTAAAAAAAATGTAAAAGGTAAAAATGGGGGCGCCTGGGTGGCTCAGTCAGTTGAGTATACAACTCTTTGATTTTGGCTCACTTCATGATCTCAGGGTCATGGGATCAAGCCCTGTGTCGGGCTCCATGCTCAGCACGGAGTCTGCTGGAGATTTTTCCTCTCCCTCTGCCCCTCCCTCAGCTGACACACTCCCACGCTCTCTCTCTCTAAAATAAATGAATTAATCTGTAAAAAAAAAAAATAAAAAGCAAAATTGGAAGTCTCCATCCCCCAACCTTTGCCATTGCCTTTTTGTTGAGGTGACCTACACGTTGTTTACAGTTTGGTTTGTTTGTTTGTTTTTAAATATTTTATTTATTTATTTGAGAGAGAGACTGCAAGAGAGAGAGAGCATGAGCAGGGGGAGAAGGGGAGGGAGAGGGAGAAACAGACTCCCCACTGAACAGGGAGCCCGACGCGGGGCACGATCCCAGGACCCTGGGATCATGACCTGAGCCAAAGGCAGACGTTTAACTGATGGAGCCAACTGGGCGCCCAACAGTTTGGTTTATATTCTTTCAGACTTTTTCCTGTGCATTTGTAAATATAACTATTTTTTAACAACAAATAATATGGAGCTGTGGCTTTCTTTTTTCACCTAAGTTAGGATATCTTTCAATCAGTACATAGAGATCCAGCTCATTCTTTTTAATGGCTGCTGAGTATTCCATTATGTGGACCCCAGTATTTATATAGTTATTGTTTTCCTTCCTTTGACATTTAAATTACCCATTTTTGCTGTAATAAATCAATCTGCAGTAATTGTTTTTACATATAAATATTTGCAGACACTTCTGACTATACCTTGGGCTAAATTCCTGGAGGTCTACATTTTTTAAAAAGATTTTATTTATTTGTCAGAGAGAGAGAGAGAGAGAGCACAAGCAGGGGGAGCTGCAGGCAGAGGGAGAAGCAGGCTCTTCTGCTGAGCAAGGAGCCCGATGTGGACCGGATCCCAGGACCTTAGGATCATGACCTGAGCTGAAGGCAGCCGTTTAACTGGCTGAGCCACCCAGGAGTCCCATGGAGGTCTGCATTTTTATTTTATTTATTTGAGAGAGAGAGACAGAGATAGCGAGAGAGAACAGGATCAGGGAGGAGAGGGAGAAGCAGGCTCCCCGCTGAGCAGGGAGACTGATGTAGGGATCAATCCCAAGACTCCAGGATCATGACCCAAGCTGAAGGCAGATGCCTAACCACCTGAGCCACCCAGGCGCCCCGAGGTCTGCATTTTTAAAACATATCTTCACTTCTTTATTAGGGAACAGATCTTTCCTTGAAACAATTGTTTAATTCATATCAACTCTTTAAAGTATCAAATCAAAACATATTATCTCCAAAGTAAACAATGGTTGTGTAAACCAACAAGCTATGGATCCCCTTTCTCTCTGGCAAAAGGAGAAATGAAAACCCAAATCAAACCCAAAGCAGATAAGAGAAATTACTCCTTGACATGCAACTGAGAATTTAAATTTGCGAAATCTCGAGAAATTCGATTTCTTAAAAATTGCTTATAATATGGTTCTCTTGAAAGACATAATCATTAAAGACATGTAGAAGAAAAGGGAGGGAAGATAACATTTGCACATTAACTATGTGCCCTGTTATAAGAATTAGAGGGAAAGAGATGAACAAGATGCTGTTGCCACCTGTAGGAAGCTTTTATACTTTAGTTGAGTAGACCAACAAACAATAAACAAATTGAACTCAACACAAAGCAGTGGAGTGCCTGGCTGGCTCAGTCGGTAGAGCACATGACTCTTGATCTCGGGGTTGTGAGTTGGAGCCCCACGTTGGGGGTAGAGTTTACTCTAAAAAAAATGTACAGGGGCGCCTGGGTGGCTGAGTTGGTTAAGCGTCTGCCTTCAGCTCAGCTTATGATCCCAGAGTGCCTGATCGAACCCCTGCATCAGGCTCCTTGCCCTGCTCCTTGCTCCTCTCTCGTGCACACTCTTTCTCTCTTAAATAAATAAAATCTTAAAAAAAAAAAAAAAGGACAAAGGAGAAAGTCTTCACAACTGCCAAAGAGATGTGGAATTAAGAGTGATGAGCTGTTTGGGGGAACAGTTGTTGGAGGACATCTTTTTTTTTTTTTAAGATTTTATTTATTTATTTGAGAGAGAGAGAGAGAGAGAGCACAGAGGGAGTGGGAGAGGGAGCAGCAGACTCCCCCGCTGAGCAGGGAGCCCGATGAGGGGCTGGATCCCAGGACGCTGGGATCATCACCTGATCCGAAGCAGACACTTAACTGACTAAGCCACCCAGGCGCCCCAGGAGGACACATTTTTGAGGCATATCAATGTAATGAGCAAGTGATAGAGAGGAGACAAGGTGGGAAAAGGGGAATTTCAAAGCAAAATGTCCAGTAATGTGACTTGGCTGAAACAAGGCAGATGTGTTAGATAAGGGGCTAACCTAGCCTACAGCTCCTTGGAAAGGAACATTGTCATTGTGAAAAATATTATGGTTGGCTTTTCTCTTTCATATGACTTCTCAAAAAAGAAACAAATTACACTTCAGTTGTATAGAAGAGGTTTTCAGGGAACATATTGATTTTTGTGTTTTTTTTTTTAAAGATTTTTTATTTATTTATTTGATAGAGACACAGCGAGAAACACAAGCAGGGGGAGGGGGAGAGGGAGAAGGAGGCTTCCCGCTGAGCAGGGAGCCCAATGCGGGGCTCGATCCCAGGACCCTGGGATCATGACCTGAGCCAAAGGCAGACGTTTAATGACTGAGCCACCCAGGCGCCCCGGTTTTTTTGTTTTAAAGTTTGTATGTATGTATGTATGTATGTATGTATGTATGTATGTAATCTCTACACCCAACTGGGGCTTGAACTCACAACCCTGAGATCAAGAGTTGCAGGCTCTTCCAACCGAGGCAGCCAGGCGTCCTGGGAACTTGTTTCTGACTAGAATATAATTGATATTGGATCTGAGGAAAGATGTTCTGAAAATACGAACTTCTTGGAAAGCAGCTGCCAAATATTGAGGTGCCGTTGTGAAGCCTTTAAAAATGTAAGGAACACTTTAGATTTTTTTTTTTTTAAAGATTTTATTTATTTATTTGACAGAGAGAGACACAGCGAGAGAAGGAACACAAGCAGGGGGAGTGGGAGGGGGAGAAGCAGGCTTCCCACGTCCTGGGATCATGACCTGAGCTGAAGGCAGACGTTTAACCATCTGAGCCACCCAGGTGCCCCAGCACTTTAGATTTTTAAAGGTTAACTTATATGCCAAATGTACCTTAGTGTTAGTAAATGTTATACTGCTTCAAAGTAACAAATGAAGGTATAATGCTTTGATTAGAAATCCAGGCCCTTTTGGAAGGTAATAATTCTGTTATTTTTAATATCTTAGGACACAGAGTCTGGCATCTAATAATTCAGTCATTTTGGATGGACTAAAAAGAAGACAGAATTTTCTGCAGAACTTTGAAGGCACAAAGAGCGGTCAAACACTCGCATCCAATTCCTTACTACAACTAACTCCAGTCATAAATGTTTAATTCTTATTTTTCTTTTGTAAACTTTTTGGTAAAAATATCCAGATTAATATAGACTATTTTAATCAGCTGAGTATATAAGAATTCTCTAAAGCCGAGCATAGGTGCTGTTAATCTCATTACATATTTTGTTCTAGTTGCTGGCTTTTTTTCCTTTTTGATGTTTTAAAGCTTTTTTAAAAACTTATTTTACTATGAATTTATTGGGAATATAGAGATTTTTTGCAATTAAAAAACCATAAAATCCTTAGTCCTTTTCCAATTAAATGTAATTAACTCAAATTTTCAGACATTCATTAGTTTCTCAAATACATAGGGTTCTAATTTACTATACCCAGTAGTGAATTTCTCTACCCATACTAATACTGAGTTCTTATGTTAAGGATCTCACCAGATTCAGCACAGAAATCCAGATAATAGTGTGTTAGGGTTGTATAGAGCCTTTGTTTGCAACTAAAGTCTTTTATCATTATCAGAAAATTTATATAGTTGTATTGGGTACTTTGCAACAAGAATTTTTTCTATCCAATCATTGCCACCAAGGATCTTCTCTGCAACCACCTTGAACATGAACAGATAGCCCCAAATTGTACTGACTGGCAATGTCCAAAATACCTCTGGTAGCATCTGGGTCTACTATTTTTCTGGTTCCTCTTCATATTTGAGGCACTCTCTATAGCATGGCAGTGAGAAGTGAGGATGTTCTCAGGTGGTGGAGATAGAAAGGAAGTAGAATGGTTGCGGAATGGTTTGTGAGTGAAAGGAGGTTCTGAATTAAAGATTTAGAGAAGATGGAAGATGGATGATAGTTCATTTATATTTGATCTATTTCCACTAAGACTTGGATAGCTTTGCTGGAATTTTTTCTGGCTGGCCTTTTCAAGACCAAGTAGTGGAATGGTCATTTCTCTTGGGTTTGGGAAACAGGGAGCAGACAAGCCTGGTTTCGGCATATTGGACAGATGCTAATGCTGACTTATGGTTGAGGGGATGTTTCTCCTAAGAGGTTCCTAAGGATTGTCAAGGCCTTAAATCTCAAGCATGATTGAATAACTGGAGAGTGCCTCTTAATTCTCACCATCCTGGTAACAATGAAGGCAAGATGAAGCTCAGCACCGTGGAGAGCTGCCTCCAGGCACTGGGGGAGTGTAGAGGAGGGGAGATCAGATACACTGCTGGGTTTTGCAGTGGTTGGCCCATTCACTTCTGTTGACTTTTAGTGGCTCTGAGCAACCTACCATGGCATCCAAGAAGATCAGCTGTGGTCACAAGGACATTTGAAACTCTGGACAAAGTATCAAGGATAATCTGTATAGCAAAGGCTTATGGGGGAGGCATTGTTTTAGGGGGAGTCTTTATAGCTTGGAATCATCATCAATGAATCAAAGACGATTTCAGCTCATTTAAAGAACTTTCCATTAGTCAAAACTATCTATAGATGAAATAAACACGTTTTTTTAAAAAAAAGACTTTATTTGACAGAGACACAGCAAGAGAGGGAACACAAGCAGGGGGAGTGGGAGAGGGAGAGAAGCAGGCTTCCCTCCAAGCAGGGAGCCCGATGGGGGGCTCTATCCGAGGACCCCGGGATCATGACCTGAGCCGAAGGAAGATGCTTAACAACTAAGCCCAGGTGCCCCGAAATAGACACTTTTATAAATGAATGAACTTCCTATTATTTAGGGCACTCAGGCAGAGGCTTGATGATCTTTCAATTGGTATATTACAGAGGTATTTCCAGTACTTAACAGGATAGCTGAACTAGATGATTTTAAAGATTCCTTCCAACTGTAAGGTTTTGTACTTACAGATTCAGTGAGGGTTATATGTCAATTATATCGCAAGGAAAAAAAAAAAAGTTTAAGTGAGGATCCTGCAAAGTACTGAACTCATACAAGATTCCTGAGTTCTTCCAGTTCTCCACTTCTGTCCTATCCTTGTCAGTCCTTGGAAAAAGGAGCAACAACTCTGTCCTAACTTTGATTTTGGACCTGGACAAATTTCTCTATTAGAGTGAGGAATCCAAAGTTTTTTATGGCTCTAGTCACACGTAGGGACCAATGAAATCCATCTAATTTTGCCGCTAGACGCACTATAACACTCCCTAAATGTATTAAACAAAGCCTATTATGAAACCAATAAAACTTTCCTTCTACAAAACACAACATTTGACTACAAATATTGAAGATGGGTATATGTGTTGTTTGGGATATTATTCTCTAAAATAAGTGGCTTGCATTTTCTCCCCAATATTAATTTGTGTGCGATAACATTAGTTCTTGATTTCTCATCCTCACTGTGGTCTATTCTCTAAGGAGAAAACTTGTTTTCTTGAGGCAGCATGATGACCTGAGTTTAGGAATCGGAGAAGTTTGAATCCCAATTACAATCCTTGGGAGCTGTGTGATGGAGAAAGTTTCCAAACTTCTCTGATTCGGATTTCTCATCTGTAAAAGGGAGATGGTAATGATAGATCTAACTTACAGAACTGTTGTAAGATCTGAGGCTAATCTATTCAAAGTGCCCAATGCAGGAGGCACCTGATATCGTTATATGTGTGTATATTTTTATATATTATATATTCACAAAACTTGTCTGATAGGTGAATACGTGGCCTATTATACAGGTCCCATTTTTTGCTAGGTTGTCTGGAATTCCTCCATTTAGAGATTCAGTCCTTTAGGTTAAGATTATAAGAAATTTCATCAATTCAAATCCGGATTTGCCTAGGGAGGTATTATGCCCTGGCTAACAAGTTTTCAGTTAAAATCTGATGCTATAATAGGAATCAAATATGTAAAGCATAGGCTTATTTTAGACATTTCATACATTTTGGGATTATCCTCTCTCATCTGGAATCCCAGACCCTTATGAATACTCAGAGAGTAGCTGGGTTCTGCAAGGTATTTTCAGTATTTCAAACATTCTAATAGAAATTGTATATATTCCTTTGCTTAACTTATTGCTAATTACAACATTAAGTTTCTTTGGCAGTGGCTGAAATTATACCAGCTCAGTAATACAACACCATCACAGGCTGGTGTGACATTTCTAAGCTACACTTGTATCTTATTTATAGATAAGGAGAATGATCATGAGTTTATTACTAAATGCAATTTAGCAGAGACAAAGGTCAGATCTGTGAGGAAAAAACAATGGAGAGAACAGTAGTAGTGTTGAAAACTGGGGACCACTACATTTTGAGAACCCCTCCTACTGCTACCTGAGAAGGCTTTGTGGGAATAGGGAAGAAAGACTACTGCCAAAATGGAGTGGGAAAGAGAGACACTGAGAATCATGAAACAAGAAAGGGGGGTATCAAAAACAAACTCAGAACTACTTTGCTGGCCTCTACAAATCCTTCTTCCTTTTGAAACCTTAGAAACATGTTCCCTCTTTAGCAGTAGTGGTTTCCATTTCTTGGATAATAGTGCCCTCTTCTGGGTAGCTGATGTGACTACTTTTCCAGCACTTGATTCAAAACATTTACAAAGTAATTGGCTAAAGAAAGAGTAGGACCTCTCTCCAAAGGTTGGAGTTAAAAAGCTTTTTTCCAGGGACTTTGGGCCCGCTGAGTTGGTGGAGTGTGGGACTCTGAATCTTGGGGTTGTGAGTTCAAGCCCCACTTCGGGTGGAGAGATTACTTAAAATTAAAATCTAAAAAAAAGCTGTTCCAAGTTTGAATTAGGAGCTACACATATACATAAATATACAAGTGCTAAATGTGTTCAAAGTTGTGTTTTCTCCAAGGCTTCTAAAACCTGTCAAAACCTTGAGCTAAAGGTAGAAATGTGAGCTGCTCTGTATATCATCTTTGCAGTACTGTCATATCACCTAATCCCCCCAATTTCCCTGCACTATCAGCAGGGAAGGCATGTTTGTCTCCACATTACTAACAAAAAAGACCAGGTTTTAGAGTTGAGTTGGCCAAGGTCATGTGGCTAACAATGGCAGAAACATCCCTCCTGTTCCCTCCTTCACTTTCTCTTACTTCTTGTTACTCTAAACACTCATTCTATCCTCCAGTATCTTTTAAGCAATTTATAATTGCTCCTTAAACTATTTCCATGTCATAACATTTTAAAACGATAGCTTGATTCCTTTTGTCACTTAAGATTGACGTGCAGATGCAAAATGATGACTTTTTAAAAAAACGTTTGCTTTTTTTTTTATTCTTATGTTAATCCCCATGCATTACATCATTCGTTTTAGATGAAGTGTTCCATGATTCATTGTTTGTGCATAACACCCAGTGCTCCATGCAGAACGTGCCCTCCTCAATACCCACCACCAGGCTAACCCATCCTCCCACCCCCCTCCCCTCTAGAACCCTCAGTTTCTTTTTCAGAGTCCATCGTCTCTCATGGTTCGTCTCCCCCTCCGATTTCCCCTGCTTCATTCTTCCCCTCCTGCTACCTTCTTCTTTTTTTTTTCTTAACATATATTGCATTATTTGTTTCAGAGGTACAGAATGGTGATTCAACAGTCTTGCACAATTCACAGCGCTCACCATAGCACATACCCTCCCCCAAAACTTTTGCTTTTTAACTATAGAAAAATCTAGCCCTGTAGGTTTGAGAATGACCAGAGAGAGGCAAGTGTATAGTTCCCTCTTATTTTTATATCTTAAGGTCATAGAGTTTAAGGACCCGAAGCCAAAGGCAAGAGAAGTCTTCATAGAATCTTGGAACAGAGCAATAGATGAGGCACCCCGACTCCTAAATTTTAAGAAATAAATTATATCAGTAACTCTGGTAAAATATTTTGGAGAATAAAGATTCTAATAAGATTATATTTTAAACTATTTGTGCATTGAAATTATACTTACTCCTTCATGTTCTTCCCAATAGATATTAGCAGATACAAATCTCTTTGAGAGTTATAGAGAGAGCAAATAGGAAAAAAAAATTCTCCATTCCTTCATTACCATTCCCAAATTTTCTAGTTGATATCCATAGAGAACACAGACTTACCCAAATTTGGTAGTACTCAAATTTTTTTCGGCTAAGCCACAGCTTGAAGTTACTTATGACTTGGTTTAAGACAGCGGACAGAATTTTGATTCAGTGAGTTTGGGGCTTAGAAAGGCAGGATTGTATCACAGTCATTCTGAAAAACACTGAATAAACTTGTTAGTGTCTTGCATAGGGAGAATTGAACAGTCTAGTCCTTTCTATTTACATACCTGCTATTTGACCTCCAAATGAATGCCAATGTTTTAGAGGAGCTAAAAACTTTATTTCATCAGTATTTGATCTTCAACCACAACAAACTAACATTTGTTCCTATTATCCCAATTTTACAAGTGTGACGTTCTTTGCCACATCCACTCCTTGTTCCTATGTACATCACACTCTGTTGTAGGGCTACAAAGACTTTACAGTGGTAGAATTGGGGTGGGTGTGAAGGAAAGGAAGAAAAGGATTTAGAAAAGCACAGATCTAGAGATGCACAGTGATTCCCATACTCTACAGAGACGCATTTTCCCACTATCATTAACTGACACTCCTTTTGTTCACCGTTTTGAATCCATAAGGTAACTTTTAGATCTACAGCCCTTTTGACTTCAGACCAATCCATAGTAGTGCAGAAGGCTTGTAGCGATCATTTGTGGTTTCAGCTATTTACGACCAATCCCCAAACTCCATGACATATAGCAGTTTGTAATTTTGCTAAGACACAAGTTTGATGCTCAGGTTACAAGGCTGGGGTCTTAGAAATTGTCAAGTGCACCTACATCTCAGTTTGGCTCCTTGTTCTCCACTCAAGAGTAGCTGGGTTGAAGAGATCACGAAGAGATAAAGAAATGGCTCTGAAAAGAATGCCAACCAGCCAGCACCAGTGATGTAGGAAAACTGTAGGCTAAGGAATCAACCTTCTGCATTGTCAAAAGATTTCCAGTTTTGTATAAGGTTGTAATTTAGGGGCAGTTAATCCCCATCAATAAAATAAAATCCTTTAATTCACTGTAAATACATAATCTGTATTAAATAAGACATTTAGGCTTGTTTTCTCGCTGTGTTTCTCCGGGGTTTTCCTACTCATCCTAAATTTCATGGGAGCACCTGCCCCAAAACGCTTTTCGAAACAAAGCTTTCACGTTGGTGTGGTAGAGAGAGCCCTCAATTTGGATTCAGAAGAGGAGTTCTTTGGTCCTGACTGTGCCACCAACTGAACGTGTGTCTTCAAACAAGCAAATCCCTTACGAGGAGCTTAGTTTCCCCTCCGTCAGTGGGGGGAGTGGAAAGGACCTAAAACGAACCAAGGACTAATTTCATGACTAAAAGCTAAGACTTGAGGTACGACTGTCCAGTTCCGACCTTCACTTCCAGCCCACCTACCCACGGCAGACCCCGCGAAGCCCCTTCCCACCAGCGCCGGGCCGCCGGCCTCGCGCTAAACCGTTAGACGTTAACGCTTCACCCCGAAATGGGCGGGCCGAGGCCTGCCGCTTCCGGCGGCGAATGGCGAGGCGGCGCGTGGCGCTCCCCACCGGCCTCGCTCGGGCGGGTCCACGCGCCAGCCCGCCGCGCCCGAGCGCCTCTCCGCCGCGGTTGAGGGCCTTCCCAGCTCCAGCAGTGCATGCTGGGAAGCCCCAAAGTGTCTCCGCGGCACCGAGGATAAGTGTTCGTAGTGGGGTAGGGAGAGAGAAGTCGGGGGCGGGGGGGGGGGGGGACGCGAATCACTTTATGCTAATAAATTCGCGCGTCCTTTATGGAGATTGGCCAGGGTTTTGCCTTAACAGCCAATCACTTTAGAACAAGGGTGGGCCAGTCGAGATCGCTCATACTCATTGGCTGGGAGGTTGCAACGCGAAGGAAGAGTTTAAACTTAGAGTATCCGGGATTATTTTTCCCCCGCCGGGCGGTGCGTGTCCCGGAAGTGACGTAGCTCTGGCCGGGCGGCCACCCTGCCCCCGCTTCCTTTCACGCTGCTGCCGCCCGTGGGTGGTTGTGGCCACCGAGCCCAGAAGGAGGCGGCGGCGGCGGCGGCGGCGGCAGCGGCGGCAGCGGCGGCAGCAGCGGCAGCGAATGATGCCTGGGAAACTCCTCTGGGGGGACATTATGGAGCTGGAGGCACCCTTGGAGGAGACCGAGAGCCAAAGGAAGGAGAGGCAAAAGGTGCGCTGAGGATGGGCCGCGCCTCTTTTTGGGCTGCGCCGGCTTGGGCGGGGAGGGGATCTGTCTCAGATCTGATGGCCTGTCACAACCCGGCCGGAGCATCCCAGGGCCTCCCCTCGCGCAGCCCTTGTCCCTTTGAGGTCGCTCCGGGCCCATTCCCACCTCCATACCCGTAACCTGCAGAAGGGCTGCACTACGCTTTGGCCTGGCGCCCTGTGCTCCCTCAGCCCTTCCCGTGGGAGCCTAAGAGATGGGCAGACTCAGGTTCCCATCACCGCGGAATCTGTTCTTTCTTTCCTCTTTTTCCTTAAGCAACGAGGCCTGTTCGGTTCTTATGGGCTGTCTTAGAAGATGATTAAGAAAGATGGTTGCCTTGAATATGTGTTACTTCTCCGTCACCCTGACCTGTGAGGGAGAGTCTTGGGGAAATAGATCTTAGGTTTACAAACCTCGGTAGCTAGTGTTTAGAGGCTTAAGGAAATGTGTCACAGCCAGCATTGCTAGGAGTTGGCTGTGATGGAGATCGTGTGGGTTGTTTCACTAGTAGGCTTTACTGTTAGTATTTTCATTCAGTCCACAAGTATCTAATGAGCTTACTTTGTGCCACACTCTGCTGGCACCAAGGAGTTCAAATAAGTCCCTTCCCTCAAGGACCCTGTAGAGGGGTTGCCGAGAATTCCCATCCCCACCCTCAAAAGAAGGAGACCCAGAGAAAAGACAGCAGAGCTTAGGTGGGTGAGGAAGCTGTATTTGAAGGCTGACTTTTGACAAAAAAATGGAAATATTCTGTATAGCTCCAGAGAGCAGAACTTACCTTTCCTACCTTATCACCAAGGTAAACTTTGCCATTCCAGCCAACCAGTTATTTTTTGTCTGTGTGGTGAAATATACATAACATAAAATTTACCATTTTAACTATCTTAAAGTGTAAGTTTTGTAGCATTAAGTACATTCACATTGTTCTGTAGCTATCACCGCCATTCATCTCTGCAACTGAAACTCTGTTCCCCTTAAATACCAACTTCCCATTGCCCCCTCTCCTCCGTCCCTGGAAATCACCATTCTACTTTCTGTCACTATGAATTTCACCTCTCTAGATACCTTATGTAAGTGGAATCACCAAGCAGTTGTAATTTTGGCTCCTCCTGAAATGCCTGTATCTCCTTTTGCATTCAAATCCTATCTATTGGGGTGCCTGGGTGGCTCAGTTGGTTGAGTGTCTGCCTTGGGATCAGGTCATGATCCCAGAGTCCTGGGATTAGGCCCTGCTTTGGGCTCCCTGCTCAGCGGGGAGCCTGCTTCTCCCTCTCCCTTTGCTGCTCCCCCTGCTTGTGCACGTGTTCTCTCTCTCTCAAATAAATGAAATCTTAAAAGCAACAACAAAAAACAAATCCTGTCTGTCTGTCAAGGTTTAGTTTATGTGTCTGTTCTTTTTTTTTTTAAGATTTTATTTATTTGACAGGGAGAGAGAGAGCGCGAGCGCACAAGCAGGGGGAGTGGCAGGCAGAGGCAGAGGGAGAAGCAGGCTCCCCGCAGAGCAGAGGGAGCCCAATGTAGGACTCTATCCCAGGACCCCGGGATCATGACCTGAGCCGAAGGCAGTCGCCTAACCAACTGAGCCACCGAGGAGCCCTACGTGTTTATTCTAAACATTCTACTATACACGTCCAGTAATCTCATTCCCCTTTGAAGTCTTGTTCCAGTGCTATCTTTGTAAAGTTAGCTCACTTTTCCCTTTTGTATCCTCTCCAAAATGTTTCCTAAGATTCTTGAGGGAAATGGCCATATACTTGTCCATCCTTACATATCAATACATTCTTGTAAATTGGTGGCTTTCACGTTGTAGATTCTCCAGAAATACTTGTTGATTTTCCTCTAACTATGAAAGATAACTAAAGATTGGGAAGCAGATTGGAGTACCAACTAATAGAAACAGCATTCGGGTAGTGATCTGGCACTGAGTTGAAGATAAGTTTGGTTTGGGTATGTAGAGCTATGGAGCTAGGCCTTAGGTTCTCAAAACTGGAGTGCAGGTGAGGAAAGAAGCATGGAAGTGTTTGTTGAAGCCATGAAAATGGTATGAAAGTATACACAAAGAACAGAGACTTAAGGAGCATCCACAGAAGGAGGAGGGAGAGGAACCATTGGAGAGGGTAGGTGTAAGAGGATAAGGAAGGGATATAGAGTGTCGTGGAAGCTGAGGAAGTGAACGGTGTCAAGCACTCACTACGGATCTGATGTGGAATGATGTATTTCATCACTGAGTTTGGACTTGGGGTCTCACTTTACCTTGCTTCATGTTCCTGAAGTATGGGGCCCAAAGGTGATTCTCACCCCAAGGCTGGCTCTGTAAATAACCTTGTTTTTCTATAGAACTTGTTGGTTTGGGGAGATGTGGGCTAGTTCAGTTAATGAAAGATCAAATGTTGTAACATGTAACTGTATAACTTATGTTAATGTAAAGCTCTACTGTTTACAAAGCATTTTCACATATGTTATTCTGTTTTCACAGCATCTCCTCCATTTTATGGATGAGAAAATTGTATGTGAAAGTACTCTGTAAAATTTATGTAAATCCTGGTGAAAATTTTGGTGGTGGTAGTTTTTGCTATCACTAATAACTACTTTGTAATTTATTTTGAATATTTGACCAAGTAATTTCGAAGTGTTAAATTGCCAAATAATTTCTTGTTGTTTGCACATATTAAAACACTGGTTGGGGGGCGCCTGGGTGGCTCAGTTGGTTGAGCGACTGCCTTCGGCTCAGGTCATGATCCTGGAGTCCCGGGATCGAGTCCCACGTCGGGCTCCCTGCTCGGCGGGGAGTCTGCTTCTCCCTCTGACCCTCCCCTCTCTCATGTGCTCTCTCTCTCTCTCATTCTCTCTGTCTCAAATAAATAAATAAAATCTTTAAAAAAAAAAAAAAACACTGGTTGGTCACCAGTTTGGCATTTTTTTTTTTAAATTTTAAAGATTTTATCCATTTATTTGACAGAGAGAGAGAGGGAACACAAGCAGGGGGAGTGGGAGAGGGAGAAGCAGGCTTCCTGCCAAGCAGGGAGCCTGATGAGGGGCTCGATCCCAGGACCCTGAGATCATGACCTGAGCTGAAGGCAGACACTTAACGACTGAGCCACCCAGGCACCCCCACTTTGGCATTTTAAAACTAAAGTTGCAGAGTTGTCTTTTTTTTTTTTTTAAGTTCTAATAATTAAAAAACTTTAAAAAGGTTTCAAGGATTACATATACTTGCCTTTCCATGGGAGTATAACAGTTGGAGCTTTACGTGAATGACAGTTTTGTTTGGTTTGTATATTCTTTAATCTGTTAATTATCAAAGTTCAAAAAGGAAACATGATGTGAAAAGAGCATGGGCTTTCAAATTAGACAGAGCTTGATTACTAGCACTTCCACTTGAAGGAAATCCTGCATGTGACTCTTTGGCCAGTTACTTACCTCTAAGAACTTCTGTTTCCTCATCAGTAAAATGGCAAAGGTACAAAGGTAATACAGGTTCGCTATCCCTTATCCAAAATCCTTGGGGCTGATTCAGAATTCTGGGGATTTTTAGAAGGATAACACCCCAGTAGGGTTTGGGGCCCCCAGTTTATAATCAAACACGTTAATATCAAATGTGAATATGCATAATAAGTGGAATAAATAAAGGTTATAAATAGCCTCACATCAGTTCGAGTCAAATTTCCCCACCAAATGAGTTCAGGTTAGGTGAGGTTTTGTCTCCAAATAAGTTACCAAAAAACTTTCGGTTTTCAGAGCTTTATGGATATCGGAATTTCGGATAAGGGATTATGGACCTGTACTTCCCTTATAGGGTTGTTATGAAGATTTAAACAAGATAAGCCGAAAACACATTACACAATGCTGGGTAGGTACTCAATAATTATTAACTTTTTTTTCTCTTGGAGATAGAAGTTTTTGTTTGTTTGCTTTTTAATTTATAAATCTCGGGTTCTCATCTTTTTCTGAAAGGAGCTATTTTGATTTCCCTTAAATCATGTAATGGGATCAGAGAGGGGCTAGAGGCCAAGTCTTGAGAATGCAAGAAATGGGATGAGAAAGAAAGCAAGAGGTGAGGCTTAGGCTTGGCATTAGCAACCAGTCTAGATTTTTACCAGGTAACTTTTCAAGGTGATGGTCGATTGAGCTTTGCTGGTTGGGGAGTCAACGGTCTAAGTTCTCTAGAGTCTTAAGAGGAAAGCTTGTGACCCTCTTGTTGCTTCTTTGTTTTTCCACAGAGTGATAGAAGGAAGTCAAGGCACCATTATGACTCAGATGAGAAATCAGAAACAAGAGAAAATGGTGTTACAGATAACTTGGATGCTCCCAAGCCCAAAAAAGCTAAAATGAAAGAGAAGCTAAATGGAGACACTGAAGAAGGATGTAATAATAGACTTTCAGATGAATTTTCTAAATCTCATAAGTCAAGAAGAAAAGATCTGTCAAATGGAGATATTGGTGAATATGAAAAAAAATCAAAGCGAATGTCATCCTTAGATAGTTCTACTCATAAATCAAGTGATAATAAACTAGAGGAGGTATGAATACTTTTTGTTATGCATTTGCCATTATCCTTGAAATACAGGCTAATTTGATTTTTTAGACTAATTAGAATTGATTCCATAACGTTTCCTGCTTAGTGTCCAGTACCCTCAGGTGGACAGTGGAGTCTATAGCTGAAACCTGATGAGCCTTTTATTCTTTGTCCCTTGTTTCTGTCATTATATTGCCTTTTTCTTTGGGTGGAGGTGGGGGGGGATGTAAATGTAAACTTTTCCTGTACATTTGGGTTCCTAGTTTTTCCAAATTGCTTATTGATGGTCACCTACTTGATTTCTTATGGTTATTTCAGTCCCTACCAGTACTCATGAATTGACGTCTGACTTCCTGAAACAAGGTACATAAAGCCTCTTGACTTTGTGTATTTTGCCTTCTGCTTTTTCTGCTTCTGTAACAATAGCAACTCTAAGTGATCTTTAGATCTTATTGTAACTCAATCTTAAAGCTGTTTGCATTTTTAAACAAAAATGAAACCTAAAAATGATCTGAAGAAATCTGTTCTGGATATTAATTTTTTGGGAGGTGTAGAAAACATGCTTAGTGTAGAATTTGCTTTGCTGGACCCATTGCTTTTGCCCATACCTGTTAGAGTAGATATTTTCTTGCACAGAATTTATTCAATTTGTTCTTGCAGGTTTCCTCTAGCAGAGTTCATAGATTTGTCTAGGTATCATAAATTGTCAGTAACTCAAGTCCTCCGAAAGAAACAACATTGAAAGTCTTGATAATTCTTGGTAATCAGTAGTTCTTTATATTTTAAAATCTGATGGTTGCCAATAATTTAAATACATCTGAGCCTAATTTAATGTGTAATCTTTGGAGAGCTTTGGGAAAACATGTTGAATTTTTGCCTTAAAATACGGCATTTTTTTATTTGTGAATTTGGTATTTGTCAGGAAGCACATATGTTAGAGAGTTGATATAAATAAGGCCCTACAAATTTGTATTGCTAGTAGCAGAATGTACGGGGTTGCTTTTGCTCTGTTGGGATTTTACCGGTACAATGCTTTGTATTATAATAGGCTTAATTGTTTATTATTTTTTTAGATCACACTTGGGTTCAGGAATTCTACTTCTAGGCATTTATCTTCCTAAAGAGATAATCATGAGGTGTGCAGGGATGTATGAAACTCTTATCACAGTGTTGTTGATCCTAGCAAAAAATTTATGCATCCTAAATGTCTGATAGTAGGCAGTTGATTTTAGAAAATATGCTAGATCTATGCAATAGATGACATCTATCCTAAAGGTTGTGGAAGAGTGTTAAAAAGGTATTCAGGGGGTGCCTGGCTGGCTCAGTAGAGCGTGTAACTCTTGATCTCAGGGTCATGAGTTCAAAAAAAAAAAATAATAATTATTAAAAGGTATTCAGTGTATCCTATTAAATGAAAAAAACACACATTACAATACAGTATATACAGTATTGTTTTTATTTAAAAACATTTAGGGGTGCCTGACTGGCTCAATTGGTAGAGCATGTGACTTAATCTCAGCATCATGAGTTTGAGCCCCACGTTGGATGTGGAGATTATTTAAAAATAAATAAATAAAATTCATATGTGCATAGACTGAAGTTTGGAGGAGTGTTTGTTTCAAATGTGGCTTTAGCTGACTGGATTATAGTTTTATTTCTGTTTATATGTGGCTTCTACAATGAAAATGTATTACTTTTGTAATAAATTTTTTTTTCTTTTTAATCTTAAGATAATAGCCTTGAGGTTTACTTAAATGGCTTACAATTTCAGTTTGATATTATGTCTTTTATCTGGTTCTCTGTTTGAAACTGCTATTGTGTATGATTCTGGAACTACTTTCTTTAAACATAGCAATAATAAAGTTAACAGATATATTGTCTTCGTTCTGTATACACATTGACTAGTATACACAGTTTTCAGTAGATGTTAAATGATTATGTCATGCTAACCTGTGTATGTGTTAAAGAAATTTTCAAGCTTACAGGAACTTTTCTTTGTTTTGGTGACCTAAAACATGCTATTTAGAGCCATAGAACAACTTTTTTTAACATTTATTTTTAGAAACAATTTACTTTCCTCATTGTGTAATTTTTTTTAGGTTGGTTTGTAGGCTTCTGTTAGATCTTGTAATTAATATTGTCTGTATCTGTGAATATGACTTAGATGATCAAATAGCTCTTCTGTAATGTCTCAATCAAATGGAAATATATTTTGATTTATGTAGTAGATGTATTTTCAAAGGGAGTTTTATTTGTGAGTTAATAATTTTAAAATGTACTGTAGGAGGGGCGCCGGGGTGGCTCAGTCGGTTAAGTGTCCGACTCTTGATTTCGGCTCAGGTTGTGATCTCATGGAGCCTGATGTTGGGCTTCATGCTGGGCATGGAGCCTGCTTAAGATTCTCTCTCTCTCCCTCTACCCCATCCCCCCCCCCAAAAAAAAGAAAAATGAGAAAAATAAAATGTACTGTGGGAAAATGTATTGAGTAAACTTGCTATTTAAAGGGATACTTTTGAAATTAAAAGGGTCTTCCACTAATGTATCATGTAAATTAATCTATAGAATTTTTGCAGGTACTAACTAAAGTTGATTTGTTAGCTCATTCACTAAAACGAAAAATGGTAAATGAGTAAGATTCTAAATATCTAGTTGAATATGAACTATATTAGTTAGAACTTTGATTTCATTTTGACAGACCCTAACACGTGAACAGAAAGAAGGAGCCTTCTCCAATTTCCCTATTTCTGAAGAGACAATAAAGCTTCTAAAAGGTACTGTGAATTTTAATGGATATACAACTGAAAATCTACAACTAGGATTTTATAAAAAATCTTTGCCTCTTCTGACCAAAAGGAGAATATAGGAAGTGTAAGAGAAATAGCTCTTCTTTAATTGCAGTTATTTCTACATCATCCTTTTTGATATTCTAACCGGTGTTTAACTTTAAATAATTGTATGTATTTGTCAGAAGTGTCAGAACAATTTTTTTTTTTTTAATTCCTCTTTGCGGTAGGAATAACTGTAAATATCACTAGGTATTGTATTTTTAGGCTGACGTTGAAGAATCTGGGTTGTCATTTTCAAATAAAAATATTTTTTCCTAAAGCTAATCTTAAATATATTTCAATGAAATCTCATTTTACAGGTCGAGGGGTATCATATCTCTTTCCTATTCAAGTTAAGACCTTTGGTCCTGTATATGAAGGAAAAGATTTAATTGCTCAAGCACGGACAGGAACAGGAAAGACATTCTCTTTTGCCATCCCCTTGATTGAAAGACTCCAAAGAAATCAAGAGACAATTAAAAAAAGCCGCTCACCAAAGGTAACCATTACAGGGAGTAAAAGGTTTAAAACATTAATGGAAAGGGAAAGGAAGAATATACTGATCTTAAGTTCAAGTACCCCCAAGATAGAAAAGTTAGCTCTGTGGCATAAAGTAAAAATTAGATCCTAAAGCAAAAATTAGTTGATTTTTAACATAAATCTCAAGTAAAGTTGAATGAAGTGGTTATTTTGCATATGAATGTAATGTGTATGGATCCATAGATGTCTTTGATAAATGTATGTTATGAAGCCAGCATGTCTAATTTTAGGTATGTTTATAGTGAGTATATTTAGTGACCTTCTCTTCTTTTTTTTCAGTCTTGATCTTTGCTTTTAAACAATGAATTTGCTAAAGAGGTATTCATTTATTTAATCATTCAGTAATAATATCCTCTATTTCACTGGTTGACTTTTTAAGAAGAGATTATAGAAATGATTTTGTTAGTCCCTATGTTATTGGGGTACTGGAGATCTGTCTTAATTATAGTAGAGAACAGAGAGGACTTAGTGAAATTTTAACCTAAAATTTGATGTTTTCAGAACCTATATTCACTTTAAGGTTAATAAAAGTGAAGAAGAAAAATAATCAGTATCATAATTTGAACAGATATGTGACTAAAAGTAATTTGTTCTTTGAGACTCCTAAATGGTATTGCAATATGAAAGTAAATTCACATGTATTAATATAATTAAGTCATAATGGTCTTGGATTAGGTTGGCTAACAGGAAATACCTTTTTTTTTTTTTAAAAAGATTTTATTTATTTATTTGAGACAGAGAGAATGAGAGAGAGCACATGAGAGGGGGAAGGGTCAGAGGGAGAAGCAGGCTCCCTGCCGAGCAGGGAGCCCGATGTGGGACTCGATCCCAGGACTCCAGGATCATGACCTGAGCCGAAAGCAGTCGCTTAACCAACTGAGCCGCCCAGGTGCCCAGGAAATACCTTTTTTAGAGAGTTTTTTTCCTTAGGTGAAATTAGGAAAGACTGCAAGTAATAGAAATAGGACACGTTCCAACACTGCCTTAAAAAGCTTTTATGCTAGAAGGACATCATTGGAGAGTCCAGCTCCACCACTTCTAGCTGTTTGATCTTGGGCAAAACTCTTTAACTTCTCTGAGACTCCGGTTCCTCATCTGTACAATTAGGATAATAATGCCACCTCATAGGGTTTTTGTGAGGATTGAATTATGTAATTCACGTAAAGCACTAGTTCTGTGCCAGGCACTGTTTGAAGTGTAAGGAATACAGTAACTTAAATTAACGTAAATCCCTGTCGCCATGGAGCTAATATTTTAGTGCATGAGACAGACAGTAAACAAATAAATAAAGCATAAATATTTTACATGACATGAGCGCTAAGGAGAAACAGTTAAGGGAGGAGTGAAGCATATGAAAAGAGGGTTAAGAACCTCATTGAGAAAGTGAGTTTTGAAGAGAGACCTGAAGGAAGAGGGGAGGGGAGGGTATTATAAATCTAAGTTATTGTTCTTGTTGTCATTTGTGTTGTCTTTATTTTTTAATGAATTTTTGTGTGTGTATGTGCTCTGTCTTTAAATACTATGACTTTAATGTTGAGATTCCTAGTTTTAAATGCACCTTAAAAAAAAGTCTTCTCAGTTTGAATTTAGATGTTTTTAGAAAAGTATCTTTTTATTTTTTAAACCTCTTGCTTAGGTTCTTGTTTTGGCTCCTACAAGGGAACTGGCAAACCAAGTAGCCAAAGACTTCAAAGATATCACTAGGAAACTCAGTGTGGCATGTTTTTATGGTGGAACATCCTATCAAAGCCAAAGTGAGTAAATACGTATGATAGTAGTGCAAAGATCTATTTGCTACTTAAATCTGAAGAAATAATGTGAAAACATATATTTGATCTTTATATATTACTGCTATTTCTCTCCTCTCACAGTTAATCATATTCGAAATGGTATTGACATCTTGGTCGGGACTCCTGGTCGTATCAAAGACCATCTGCAGAGCGGCCGATTAGATCTTTCTAAACTGCGCCATGTTGTGCTTGATGAAGTGGATCAAATGTTAGATTTAGGTTTTGCTGAACAAGTTGAAGATATTATCCATGAATCCTACAAAACTGGTATATCCTAATTCAAAATAAACCCATTAGCAATTATCCTTATATTTAAAAGCTTACAAATTTTTTATTTCATAATTATTATTACATTGTCCCCAGTGTTCTAACAAAGCTAAAGTTACTTGGTTCCTGTTCTCTTCCTGAACAAGAAAGTACAATGCGACCTTTAACTGTTTGTTAGCTTCCTATGCTTTCCTTCATGTATTATTTTTTATAGTCAGTAGATTTATTACTAACTCATTTTACTGATTTCTTTGCTCATTGTCCCTTTTTAAATTCTCACCTTTTTTCTGGGGTCAGTTTTCTTCATATTTTCCCGCAGTTTTGAAAGTTGAAAGTTTTAATAATTGTAATGAAGTTTGTATGTTCAAAATGGACCCCAAATTTTTAATTTTTTATGATTTCTTTGAAGTTTGGGGGGGATTTTCAGGAGCTGACTACATCATGGATGTTAAGAAAGCATTTGATTTTTTTTTGTTGTTTATTTAAGATTCTGAAGACAATCCTCAGACTTTACTTTTTTCTGCAACTTGCCCACAGTGGGTATACAAAGTTGCAAAAAAATACATGAAATCCAGATACGAACAGGTTGACCTTGTCGGAAAAATGACTCAAAAGGCTGCAACTACTGTGGAAGTAAGTAGCTTTCTGGCATGATAGATTGTAGCTTTTAGTTGGTATTTGAAATTTGTTGAAGCTAAACTTAAGTTTTGGGTACTAGTTCAGGCCAAATCCCATCCCTTCCCTTTCCCTTTCTTTCTAAGATTATTCATTTGTTTGTCAGAGAGAGAGAGCACACACGTACAAGCAGGGGGAGTGGCAGGCAGAGGGAGAAGCAGGCCCCCTGCTGAGCAAGGAGCCTGATGTGGGACACATCCTAGGACTCTTGGGATCATGACCTGCGCTGAAGGCAGATGCTTAACTGACTGAGCCACCCAGGCATCCCCAAATCTTTCTTTTTGCCTTTAGTCAGTAAGATACCTGTGTATTTCTATGGTCTGAGACAGAGGAGTAGAATAGAATAAATCAGAGAAGAAAAGTATGTTAACAGACAAGTCCTAACAAGTGATATACAGGCAGCTGTAGAGAGAGACTTAAAGTATGTAGAAAAGGACAAAGGGGGCAGTTTATATCAATTTGAAGAGAATAGCACTGGGATAATGTGTTAAAAGCTTAGGTGAAAAAGTTAGATCTCCATCTCATACCCTATACCAAAAAAATTCTCAAAAGAATTTATTTTTTTAAAGATTTATTTAAGAGAGAGAGCGCGTGCACATGGGGTGGGAGGAGGGGCTGAGGGAGAGAGAATCACAAGTAGACTGTGCTGAGCGCCGAGCCCAAAGTGGGGCTCGATCCCATGACTCCCAAGATCATGACCTGAGCCAAAACCAAGAGTCAGACACTTGACTGCGCCACCCAGGTGCCCCCTCAAAAGAATTTTAAAAAGTGAGCCATAAAATCATTTAAAGCAGTGTAGATGAACAGTTGATTTCAGGAAAGGGAAAGCTTTTCTAAACATAAAGTCAGAAGAAGATACCATAAAGGAAAAGGATAATTTTCACTCCATAAAAATTCAAACTAATAGTATATTTTTAAAAAAAAATTAGGGGGGGGTGGTGCCTGGCTGGCTCAGTCAGAAAGTGTGACTTGATCTCAGGGTCATGAGTTTGAGTCCCATGTTGGATGTAGAACTTACTTAAAAGGAAAGGAAAGAAAACGGAAAAGAGATTGGAATGGAATTAAGGTAATATTCGCATTTATGAAAGGTACCGTATACGTCACTTTCCATTTAATAGATGTATGTATATGTGTATGTGTACGTAAATAAAAATAGTCTAAATAAGCAATAGTATAATGTATAAGTACAGTGGAATGGTTAAAAAGAATGAATTTGGGGGCGCTCGGGTGGCTCAGTTAAGCGTGTGCCGTCAGCTCAGGTCATGATCCCAGGATCCTGGGATCAAGCCCCGCATCAGGCTCCCTGTTCAGTGGGGAGACTACTTCTCCCTCTCCCTCTGCTGCTCCCCCTGCTTGTGCTCTCTCTCTCTGTCAAATAAATAAATAAAATCTTTAAAAGAGAGAGAGAGAATGAATTTGAGTGGCAAAAACTAAATTATAAAATGATACATATAGAATTATACTGTATATATATATCTAGAGATCATGACCTGAGCCGAAGGACAGACACTTAACTGCCTAAGCCACCTGGGCGCCCCTAGAGTTATACTATATTTTCCAAAAAATAGACAAATAATGCTAAATGGATTCTTTAGATATTTATGTAAATGTATAGAGATAGGTTGGAAAGAGAAATATCAAATTACTGGTAATAATCACTTCTGGAAAAGAGAACTTATAGTACAGAATAGTGAAAGGAAGCTAGCTTTTGTATTTTGTAATGGCTGAAAATTTTCTTTCTTTCTTTTTTTTTTTTTAAAGATTTTATTTATTTATTTGACAGAGAGAGAGCACAGATAGGCAGAGTAGCAGGCAGAGGGAGAAGCAGGCTCTCCACAGAGCAGAGAGCCCGATGTGGGGCTCGATCCAAGGGCCCCGGCATCATGACGTGAGCTGAAGGCAGACGCCCAACCGACTGAGCCACTCAGGCACCCCTGGCTGAAAATTTTCTGGGAGTAAAATGTATCAGTGAAAAAAATTTATTAAGGATGTTTTCGAACATATGCAGAAATTGAGTATTTATAAGGGACCTGATGTACCCATCACCAGGCTTTAAGGATGATCTTTTCTAAACCCCCATACCTTCTTCATTCCTACCTTTCTTTTTTTTTTTTTTTTTAAGATTTTATTTATTTATTTGTCAAAGAGAGAGAGCACAAGCAGGGGGAGTGGCAGGCAGAGGGAGAAGTAGGCTCCCCGTTGAGTAGGGAGCCGGATGTGGTGTTCGATCCCTGGACCCTGGGATCATGACCTCAGCCGAAGGCAGCTGCTTAACCGACTGAGCCACCCAGGTGTCCCTCATTCCTACCTTTGAAGCAATCCAGTCATCCTTTCATTTTCATGTAATTGTATATAATTTTTAAAGGATAAGTATTCTTTTGGGGCATCTGTGTGGCTCAGTCAGTTAAGCGTCTGCCTTCGGCTCAGGTCATGATCCCCAGGGTCCTGGGATCGAGCCCCACATCGGGCTCCCTGCTCAGCTTCCTGCTCTGCTGCTCACTCTCCCTCTGTGCTCTCCCTCACTTTCGCTCTCACAAATAAATAAAATCTTTAAAAAATAAATAAAGGATAAGTATTCTTCAAAAAACAAAACAAAAACCACAGTTATTATCACAGTAGGAAAAACCCAGTGCTGCTTTAGTATTATTAAATATCTAGTATCCACATTACCCTAGTTGTCTTTTTTTTTAAATAGTTTCAGTCTGGATCCAAATAAGATCTTTAAATTGCCACTGGTTTGGGGTGCTGGGGTGGCTCAGTCGGTTTAAGCGCCCAACTCTTGATTTCAGCTCAGGTCTTGATCTCAGGGTTAGGACTTTCAAGCCCTGCCTACTTAAAAAAAGATAAATTGCCACTGGTTTATTTTTCTCTTAAATCTTTTATAATGTACATGTTCCTCTGTCTCTTTTTTCTTCCAATTTTTTGTTAAAAGGAAATGATCATTTTTGAAATGATGAATTTCCCACAGTCTCAATTTAGCTGATTTGCATTTCTGTGGGTATTATTTAACATGTCCCTCCACCTTCATTTTCCTGTGAATTGATGGTTGGATTGTGAGGCTTGATCAGATTTAGATTGTTTTGTTTTGTTTTTTTGAGAATGGGGAAGAAGCAAGACTTTGTCATAGGTGGTACAAATGATTCTTTGGTTTCTTCTTTGTTCTTTTCTATTTTCTAGGTGCTCTGTAATTAATATGTATTACATTTTAAAAACAATTTTTTGAGATACATGTTAAAATGCACAGATTTAGAATATACATCAGTTTTCCTCCAACATTGTTTTATTTATTATTATTACTGTTTTAAAAATTCTTTACTTAAAAATCAATTTAGTTAACATATATTGTATTATTAGTTTCAGGGGTAGAATTTAGAGATTCATCAGTTGCATGTAACACCCAGTGCTCATTGCGTTAAGTGGCCTCTTTAAAGCCCATCACCCAGTTACCCCATCTCCCCATCCACCTCCCCAACATTATTGTTTTAAAGATTTTATTTTTTTAATTCTTTTTACTTTTATTTCATTTTATTATTTTTTAAATATTGTATTTTGTTATTTGTCAGAGAGAGGGAGAGAAAGAGCCTAAGCAGGGGGAGCAGCAGGCAGAGGGAAAAGTGGGGAGCCCGAGGCGGGACTCAATCCCAGGACCCTGGGATCATGACCTGAGCAGAAGGCAGACACTTTTTGACCGACTGATCCACCAGGTGCCCCAAGTCAAAAGAGTTTTACAGTGACCACTCATATAGCCACCAGCTAGATCCTACCATTAATATTTCACTATATATGAATTTCACTTTATATTTCACTTATATCCATCTTTTTTATTCCTTTCATATTGCAGAAATGAGCATAGTTCCTCATAAGTACTTTAGCATGTATATTGTTAACTAGAGTTCGATGTTTTCAAATTTTTTGAGGTAAAATTCACAAAATTAAATAAACTGTATATAACATCTACAATTGAGTGTTTGTACATACGTGATGTTCTGCAACCATAGCTTCTCTCTACTGCCAGAACTTCATCACCCCAAAAGGAAACCCCATAACCATGAAGCAGTTAGTTCCTCCCCATTCTCCCTTTTTCCTAGCCCCTGGCATCACCAATCTGCTTTCTGTCCCTAGGGACTTACCTATTTTGCATACTTCATATAAATGTGATCATATAATATGTGACTTTTTGTGTTGGGCTTCTTTTAGTTAGTATATTTTTGAGGTTCATATAACATTTAGTTTTTAAAAGATAAGATTTACATACAATAAACCCAGAATTTTAAGTACATTTGTTCAGTTTCGACAAATTCGTAACATGTGTATCACCCAAACCCCTACCCCAATATAGAAATATTACCATCATCCCAGAAATTTCCCTCATGTCCCTACTCAGTCAAGTCCCCCATCCAGAGATAGCTACTGTTCTGATTTCTTTTCTTTTTTTTTTTTTAAGTGGGCATGGAGCCTGCTTAAAAACATGGGGCTTAAACTCACTACCCTGAGATTGAGACCTGAGCTGAGATCAAGAGTCAGCCACTTAACTGACTGAGCCACCCAGGCTCCCTTGTTCTGAATTTTTTCTACCGTAGATTAGCTTTGCCTATTCTAGAGCTTGATATAAATGGAATCCTGTGTGTATTCTCTTTCTGTAAGGCTTCATTTACCTAGCATATGTTTTGAGATTAATCCATATTGTTGCATGTATCAGTAGTTGATTCTTTTCTCTTTTTTTTAGCTCCTTTTAATTATTGAATAGTATTACATTGTATAAATATACTACAATTTGTTTATCCTTTCACCTGTTGATGGCCATTTGTATATTGTTTTTAAGTGGGTTTGGGGAGAATTGTTTTATTGTATGCCAGAAAGGTCGATTCTTGAACAAATAGAAAAAACATATACAAAATAAGTCTTTTTCACTAATTTTAATGAAACAGATACTTGGTATTTTCTTTCCTCAAAGCATTTGGCCATCCAGTGCCATTGGTCTCAGAGGCCAGCAGTTATTGGAGACGTCCTTCAAGTCTACAGTGGGTCTGAAGGGAGGGCTATTATTTTCTGTGAAACCAAAAAGAATGTAACTGAAATGGCCATGAATCCACATATAAAACAGGTAAGTATTTTCTCATGCTTTCTCTAATTGAGATTATAGGGATGATTCATTGAACAAAAATACTGTCCTTTGTGGACTAGGTTTGATAATCTTTTTTTTTTTTTTTTTTTTTATGAGAGAAAGAGAAGGGCGGGGAAGAGAGAGCATGCCTGGGGGTACAGAGAGAAAGGCAGAGGGAGAGGGAGAGAGAGAGAATCCCAAGCAGGCTCCCTGCCCAGTATGGAGCCCAGCAGGGGAGGCTTGATCTCACGACTCTGAGATCATGAGCCGAAATCAAGAGTCAGACACTTAACCGACTGAGCCATCCAGGCACCCCAAGATTGTCAGTTTTAGAATTGAGTCTAATTCAGAAGGAAGTTATAGCCAGCCTGTCATGATCTTTTAAGTCAGGATAGAAGTCTACCCATTTTCCTGAGAAGGCTTTTTTAAGACTTTGCATAATGTGATCTTGAAAATATAAAAGTGAAACAAAATGAGTTTCTGTGAGCAAGAGGGGGTAGTATTTTAAAGTTGTGTTATAAAATGAATCACAAATATTTATTGAATGAATGGCTCAGAATACTAAGTCTATATGTCTTTTTTAACTTTTTATAGTAGAAAATTTTAAACATATACAAAAGTTGACAGTGTAATGAACCCCTGTGTATTCATTCTCCAGCTGCAACAGTTATCCTATTTCATCCACATGCCCACTCACTTCCTGCTCCTGAATTATTTTGATGGAAACCCTAGATAACGTATTATTACATCCATAAATAATTGGATATGTGTCTCTAAAAGAAAAGAATTGTTTTTGGGGCGCCTGGGTGGCTCAGTCGTTAAGCGTCTGCCTTCGGCTCAGGTCATGATCCCAGGGTCCTGGGATCGAGCCCCGCATCGGGCTCCCTGTTCGGCGGGAAGCCTGCTTCTCCCTCTCCCACTCCCCCTGCTTGTGTTCCTGCTCTCACTATCTCTCTGTCAAATAAATAAAATCTTTAAAAAAAAAAAAAAAGAAAAGAAAAGAATTGTTTTTTTTAAAGATTTTATTAATCTATTTGACAGAGAGAGACACAGCGAGAGAGGGAACACAAGCGGGGGAGTGGGAGAGGGAGAAGCAGGCTTCCCGCCGAGCCCGATGCAGGGCTCGATCCCATGACCCTGGGATCATGACCTGAGCCGAAGGCAGATGCTTAACGACTGAGCCACCCAGGCGCCCCAATACTGTTACCACATTTAAAAATAACAGTAATTAATATCTTCAAATGTCAACTAGTGTTCAGATTGTCGATTGCCTCATGATTGTTTTTTCTTTTATAGTTTTTGTCTTGAATCTGGATCCAAATAAGATTCGTAAATTGTGTGATTTCATTAAGTCTCTTTAATATATGGATTCCTTTCTCATCTATTTTCTTTTAAACATTTTTTTAAAGATTTTATTTATTTATTTGCCAGAGAGAGAGCACAAGTAGGCAGAGTAGCAGGCAGAGGGAGAGGGAGAAGCAGATATCCCGCTGATCAGGGAGCCCGATGCAGGGCTTGATCCCAGGACCCTGGGAGCATGACCTTAGCCAAAGGCAGATGCTTAACCGACTGAGCCACACAGGCGCCCCTCATCTATTTTTTTTCTTACAGCTTTTTTTGTTGTTTAAGAAACCAAGTTTCCATAATCTAGAGTATTGCTTCCTTGTGGCATCATTTAACATGTTCCTCTGTCTTCTGTATTTTCTGAAAATTTGGGTTGGTTTGTTTAATTAGGGCAAAACTATGTTATAGGAGTATATAATGTGTAGCTCGCTCTCTTTTTGTGATATTAACATCCATTGATAGTAATGCTATCAGTTCTTATGTCAGTATCTGTCCAATCATTTCTGTTGTTTGTGACTTGTTATCTAGTAGATTCCTGAAGAAGGGCTTATGGAAATAATATTGCCTGTTAATAATAGCATATTTGTAAATTTATACCTGAAAACCATTTGGCTAGATATTAAAATTCTTGGTTCATGTTTTCTTTCCTTCATTGTCTTGAATATATTTTGCCATTGTTTTGGGGGTAAAGCATTCTGTAAAAAGTCTGATTCCAGTCTGTTTTTTTTTTTTTTCTTATAATATTTTGCCTTCAGGCAAAAGACTTTCTAAATTTTTCTTTAAAAATCAGGGGCCCCTGGCTCAGGTTAAGTGTCCAACTCTTGGTTTCGGCTCAGGTTATGATCTTATGGGTTGTGAGATTGAGCCCCACATCAGGCTCTGCACTCAGCGGGGAGTCTGAAGATTCTCTCCTTCTGCCCTTCCCCACACTCGCACAGGTACTGTTTCTCTCTCTCTAAAATAAATAAATCTTTAAATCAGTAGTTTTTTTTTTTTTAAATCAGTAGTTTTATTTGAATGTATTTTGTATTGTTCGTGGTCACTTTTTGTGGGTACCCTGTAGCTTCAAATATATTTTTTAATATTTCAGCAAAATTTTCTTGAATTATAATTTTTTGGTGTTTGGTTTGTCTGATTGCCTTTTTTTTTCTTTAGGTCCTCTTTCTATGTTGGTTTCTTTTTTTTTTTTCTCTTCTTTGTCACTTTATCTCAAATCCTTTTCATCTCTTTATTTCACTTTTTCAAGATTTCCTATTTTTAAGGCATTAGCTCTTATGTTTGCTCAATCTTCTATTCCTTCCGGTAAAGTCTTCATTTGTGAAGAGTCTTTATCTTTCTGCTTCTTGGTTGAGTCATTTCACCTCTTTTTTTGTTTTTCTCATTTTGATTTTTCTTGTTCTTTCATGTATTATTTAAAAATTTCTCTTAGCTTATTCAGACACATAATGTTATACTTTCCATTTGTTTTGTTGGGCATGCCTTTCTAGAGCTCTTTCATGATTTGTGGGGATATTATTCTGCTTATTTTTTCCCTCTTCTAATTACTTTTTGTGGGATTCAGCTGTGGTCTTTTTAATTAAGTTTTTAATTTTATTTCCAGTATAATTAACATACAGTGTTATATTATTTCCAGGTGTACAGTACAGGATTCACCTATTCTATGCATTACTTAGTGCTCATGATGATGAGCATCTTTAATCCACATCATCTGTTTCACCCCTCCCCCAACTCTCCTCCCCTCTGGTAACTATCTGTTTGTTCTCTGTATTTAAGAGTTTGTTTCTTGGTTTATCTTTCTCCCTTTTTTTCTTTTTTTTCTTTGTTTATTTGTTTTCTTAAATTCCATATATGAGTAAAATCATACGGTATTTGTCCTTCTCTGACTCATTTCACTTAGCATCATACTCTCCAGCTCCATCCATGTTGCAAATGGTAAGATTTTGTTCTTTTTTTATGGCTGAATAATATTTCATTGTATATGCATACCATATCTCCTTTATCCATTCATCTGTCAGTGGACACTTGGGCTGCTTCCATAGTTTGGCTGTTGTAAATAATGCTGTAATAAACAAGGATGCATGTATCCCTTTGATTTAGTGTTTTGTATTTTTGGGGTAAATATCCAGTAGTACAATTACTGGATCTTAGGGTAGCTTAGGTAGCCTCTATTTCTAACTTTTTTTTTTTTTTTAAAGATTTTATTTATTTATTTGACAGAGAGAGAGACACAGCGAGAGAAGGAGCACGAGCAGGGGGAGTGGGAGAGGGAGAAGCAGGCTTCTTGCGGAGCAGGGAGCCCGATGTGGGGCTCGATCCCAGGACACTGGGATCATGACCTGAGCCGAAGGCAGATGCTTAACGACTGAGCCACCCAGGTGCCCCTTAATTTATTTTTTAATTAACATAAAATGTATTATTTGTTTCAGGGGTACAGGTCTGTGATTCATCAGTCTTACCCAATTCACAGCGCTCATCATAGCACATACCCTCCCCAGTGTCCATCACCCAGCCACCCCATCCTTCCCACCCTCCTCCACTCCAGCAACCCTCAGTTTGTTTCTTGAGATTAAGAGTCTCTTATGGTTTGTCTCCCTCTCTGGTTTCATACTGTTTTATTTTTTCCTCTCTTCCCCCATGATTCTCTGCCTTGTTCCTCTAATTCCACATATCAGCAAGATCATATGATAATTGTCTTTCTCTGATTGACTTATTTTGCTTAGCATAATACCCTCTAGTTCCATCCACGTCATTGCAAATGGCAAGAGTTCATTTTTTGATGACTGCATAACATTCCATTGTGTGTGTATATATATATATATATATATATATATATATATATATATATATATTCCACATTTTCTTTATCCATTCATCTGTCGATGGACATCTAGGCTCTTTCCATAGTTTGGCTATTGTGGACATTGCTGCTATAAACAGTGGGGTGCACGTGCCCCTTCAGATCACTACATTTGTATCTTTGGGGTAAATACCCGTATTGCAATTGCTGGGTCATAGGGTAGCTCTGTTTTCAGCTTTTCAGGGAACCTCCATACTGTTTTCCACAACGGCTGCACCAGTTTGCATTCCTACGAACAGTACACAAGGGTTCCTTTTTCTCTACATCCTTGCCACCTGCTGATTCTTGTGTTTTTGATTTTAGGTATTCTGACAGTGTAGGGTGATATTTCATTGTAGTTTTGATTTACATTTCCCTGGTCATGAGTGATATTAAGCATCTTTTCATGTGTCTGTTGACCATCTATTTGTATGTCTTTGGAGAAATGTCTGTTCATGTCTTTTGCCCATTTTTTAATTGGATTATTTGGGGTTTTTTGGTGTTAGGAATTGTGATCTTTACTATTGCTCATTTTTAGGTGAAATTAATCTTTTTTTTTTTAAGTTTTTTTTTTTTAAGTAATCTCTATACCCAACGTGGGGCTCAAACTCAACCCTAAGATCGAGAGTCGCATGCTGTACTGACTCAGCCAGCCAGTCACCCCTTGGGTGAAATTAATCTTTATGAACTTTAAATGGGGAGGCATGGGTCAGAATAGTTTTCAAGCTTCACAGCTGTAGAGCTGCTACTTCTGTTATTGTTTGGTGTGTAAATTATATCTCAATAAAGCTGTTTAAAAAAGAAAAGATCTCCTACTTTCTGAGCTCTGGCTGTCTTTTCCCTCATTTTTATCTGGATCTTCTTTTCCTTTGCTTCTGTGATCCCTGGCATCCTCAGTTTGGATCCTAGCTTCAACCCTTTCTCCTTACTGTGGGGCTTTGTCCTGGCAAGGGAGCATTGGTTTATAAATTTTGAAAGTTCATAAAGGGTCCAGCTGCTCCAGCCTCTTTCAGACCTTACCTCTGGATCCTGACAGTCGCCCTTCAGTGTACAAAAACTCTCCTAGTTTCAGCTGCTATTCTCAAATTGGTCCATTGTGCTTTCTAGGGATTATCTGTTCTTAGGACCAGCGAATCTCCCCCCTGCCCCATATATACAGGTCTTGTCCCTACCTGCTCATGTTTTGGAAATCATGAAAATATTTGTCTCTTACTTTTGTCATAGATGTCTGTGGATTTTTAAGTTTGTTATCCTAATTGCTCCGTTTGTTTTTATATGGGAACTGGAGATTCAAAGACTATGCTGTCGACATCTTCCCCAGTATTATTTTAACTGACTATAGTTTTAGCTCTTTATACAGTATACACGGACGACAATTGCTAAATAGTGAAAGTGATCAAGGGTAGTTGATTTACCTTTCCTGTTATTGCTTTAGAACACTCAGCAGCAATAGTGTTGCAGAAGCTATTGTTTTATCTCATAGGGAGGACTTGCCTTGCTGCAAAGACTGGGTGAGAATGTCCCTCTTACTGGATGCTAACCAGCTTCTATGGTTGAGAGCAATGCAGTTTCTCCTCTGCTGGTTTATTGTTTAGGTAAAAAGTAGTAGTAGCACATCATTATAAGTGATACAGGATTTTAGGGACTAATGGGAGAATTTTAGTGGTTAGTTTCTTTTTTTTTATTTTTAAATTGTAATTTTTTTCCTTTTTTTTCTTTTTTCTTTTTTTTTTTTTTAAAGAATTTATTTATTTATTTGAGAGAGAGAGAATGAGAGACAGAGAGCATGAGAGGGAGGAGGATCAGAGGGAGAAGCAGACTCCCTGCCAAGCAGTGAGCCCGATGCGGGACTCGATCCCGGGACTCCAGGATCATGACCTGAGCCGAAGGCAGTCGCTTAACCAACTGAGCCACTCAGGCCCCCTGTAATTTTTTTCTTAAGGTCAGGTTTTACCAAAACAATGCTTTCTTTTTTTTTTTTTTTTTTTAAGATCTTATTTATTTATTTGACAGAGAGACAGCGAGAGAGGGAACACAAGCAGGGGGAGTGGGAGAGGGAGAAGCAGGCTTCCCGCTGAGCAGGGAGCCCGATGGATGTGGGGCTGGATCCCAGGACCCTGGGATCATGATCTGAGCCGAAGGCAGACGCTTAACAACTGAGCCACCCAGGTGCCCCAGAACAATGCTTTCTTAATTCTAAACAATCACATGCATACATACACACACCCACGCATGCATTCACACAAACTTTTGGAAAATAATTTACTCATAAGTTGGAGACCTGGAAACCATCACTGGTAATATAAATGTATTATGTCCCTTCTTAGGACTAATTATCAAGTGAAAAAAATCAGTGTGTCAAATTTTTTTTAAAGATTTTATTTATTTGACAGAGAGAGACACAGAGAGAGAGGGAACACAGGCAGGGAAGTGGGAGAGGGAGAAGCAGAAGCAGGCTTCCTGCTGAGCAGAGAGCCTGATGCGGGACTTGATCCCAGGACCCCAGGATCATGACCTGAGCTGAAGGCAGACGCTTATCGACTGAGCCACCCAGGTGCTACTGTATCAAATTATTTATTTATTTATTTATTTATTTTTTAAAAGATTTTATTTATTTATTTGCGAGAGAGAATGAGAGAGAGCACGAGAGGGAGGAGGGTCAGAGGGAGAAGCAGACTCCCGGCTGAGCAGGGAGCCTGATGTGGCACTCGATCCCGGAACTCCAGGATCATGGCCTGAGCCGAAGGCAGTCGCTTAACCGACTGAGCCACCCAGGCGCCCTGTATCAAATTTTTTAAAAGTGACTTTGAGGGGGGGTAGGGGAATGGGGTAACTGGGTAATGGACATGGGGAGGGCACATGATGTAATGGGCACTGGGTATTGTGTAAGACTGATGAATCACTGAACTCTACCTCTTAAACTAATAATACATTATATGTTAATTGAATTAAAAATTTTTTAAAAAGTGGATTTGAAAATTTTACTATGAAAAACCATCCAATTTATTTTAAAGTATGTTTATGACTTAAAACACCAGTAAGGTAATAATGTTTCCTTTCTTGAGCATTTCTCTTACTTTGGGTTCTGTGATATCACAAAGG